AACTCCTTAGAAACATTTTGCATCAACTACCCATGCATACATTAAACATGAGCTGAAATGGACTCTGGAAGTCATCTTAAAATTTTAATAAAAGTTAATTTAGACCAAAATGTCATATCATGAATCATCCAAAATAGTTTCCCCTAAATTCGGTAAAACTATTACCTAAAACAGCATTTTTATGATTCTTATTCATGATAATTCATCATATTAATGTCATTAATTCTTTTAAGTTCATTTGTCACTGCAGCAGCAGCATTTAACAGGTGATTAGAAACTTTCCAGCTCCCTAAAATACACACACGCATGTACATGTCAACCTAAAATCTTGGGCTTGATTGAAAACAAACTCCACGGTCAAGTTGTGCATCAACTACCCATGCTTTTTTTAAACGAAATGTATATTATAGTTCTCCCCGGTGCATATCTGGCAAAGGCAGCACTGCATTTCTGGCACTGCATTTCTTCAAATATTCTAAACATGACCTGCAGCATATGGGGATCAGACACAAACAGACACCAGTCAAACGCTGCCATCAGAGCCAAACATGCACAAAACAGCAGACGGAGATTGCAGTAAACGCTGATACTCACCCTGAGCGGACCAGAGCAGCCACAGCAAACCCAGCAGAAACAGCAGCGATGTCCAGCGGGTCTGAACCTGTAGCTCCATCCCTGAGACTCGAGCATGGAACCAGGGCATGGAAACACACGCACGCCGCTCGCTCCACAGTTACTCCACACTGACGGCCGGCCTGCGACAGACAGAGAGAAAGAGGGTGTTACTCTCTCGCTGCGATTGGGACGGCCCCTCCACTCTGGACACCTTGTGGAGAGACAATAAAAGCAGCAGTTGATCTCTGTGGCTCAGCTGGGACCCCAGCGGACCCTCCTCACGCACAGGGGAGGGCCGTCCGCTGAAAGGAGGCCAGGGGCCCCCAAAAACAGCCTCCAGCGCTCCAAAGTCACGTGACCACAGCGGCTGCACTCCTGCCGCCCTGACAAACCAACACCAGTGCTTTAAAGGGGTCATATGAGACCCTGGATCACAAAACCAGTCATAAGGGTCAATTTTTTGAAAT